AATCATTCTTCCTTTAATAAATTATGCAGTAAATCATACACGAACATATGCAGTAATAAAATTTATAGATATATGGAGTTTCTTATAAGTTTATACAAAAAATAGTAGAAAGGACTTCATACATAATATGTACAATTTAAAGTCACCACAAATTAAACGAATAAGCATCAATTTTTTCCATTCCATAATTATTAAAAAGTTTATGTTTTCTAATGTAAAAATCATTGGATTAGGCTTATAGGAATCTTTACGCCCTATAGGAATCTTACGATTTTACATTTGATGCGATGAATAAAATCTGAATAATATGAATAACTATGATATCTCACTTTTTTATTTATAACATTATTTAAATAATTCATTTTTACAGTTGGTCATTTGGAATACTTTTATGGGAAATCATGACCTTAGGTGCAACTCCTTATCCGGCTATACCTACCGCGACTTTACTCGAAATTTTGTGCTCGGGTTATCGAATGGGACGTCCAATAAAATGCTCTATAGAACTGTAAGTATAATAAATATTTTATAAAGATAAAAACCGATTTAATTCTAAATTAAAATCAAAATAGTCTACCTCAAGCTAAGAAGAATATTAACTATTTAATCGTTTTATTCACAAAACTATTTATTTTGCTTCACAAAAATTAACTACTATATCTATCAATTTAGAAAAATGAATTAGCATGACAGTGAAAATGAATTTTTCAGATATAGCATAATGCTGGCGTGTTGGAATTTTAAACCAAATCAGAGGCCAACATTTAGTAGTATAAGATCTGCTCTTAGTGATATGCTAGAAAAAGATGCGAAACGTTACTAGTGGGTCTCAAAATTATGAGTATTTGTGATAACAAATCGTGAAGAAATTAGATGTGAATAAGATAATTATAATGGACAATTTACTGACAATAATAGATCAGTGTTAGCATTTTATTTTTCATAACTCTAGTAAAAATATAATTATAGACTATTTTTTATCATTCGATTACCATTTTTAGTCGTATTTTTTATATTGAATATTTATAAAAATAATAAACTAATTGACAAAATGCCGATTGAACATTCATTTTATCTTTAATATGTATATGTATGTATATGTATATGTATGAATTTGTATATATGCGTAAGCGCCGCGTTAAATGTGGATCCTTTTGACCACCAAATAACATTTTTTATTACTGTTTTCATTCGATATCCGAAACCGCTAAGCCTGCCGTCCCAAAAATTTGATCAATTCTTCAATTACCCAATACAAATAAAATGTTTTTTGAATTATTGAAGTCGGACGCTCCTGTTCTCTCAAAAACTGAATTACAATTTTTGGCACTTTTTGTCCAGTGCCTTCGAAACAGCTCTGCCAATAACTAGTCAGCACCGTCTCCTTATCAGTAGGAATCAAATGTTTGCTGAATTATTCAAATCGGTTGATCATTGTTCTCGAAATCGTCAACGAAAAATTGTAACCGCACATACATTCATACACACACGATTGAAAGGAAAGAGCGAATGGGACTTCGCTCATTTAAAAGATAATAGTGAGTATAATTTCAGTGTAAGAATAACAACATTCTAGATCCTCCCCCACTAATTAATGCCTAACGGCGGTTTCTATGGGTACCAGAGGTAAGGGCAAAGCGCAGGTTTTAGTCGGTATTATATTATTTATTAAACTATCAATTTAAAATGTTTAAAGATTTTTGATTCAATACAATAAAGCAATAAAGCTTATTATTATATTATTATATTGTCTAGGGCAATAAAGTTCAAATGAGATCATGAACACGTTCATATATTATTAACTTCCCTCGGTTCATATATTATACCCATTGAGTCCGACATGCTCAGACGAAAGATCAGTCTGTTCAGTAGTAGAAATGTTCAGTAGACTTTGAAACGTAAAGATTAATATAACATACGCTACGGGATGTTAATAACACAATTACCCCGAATTTTCAAGAATTAATACTTCTTATTAAACTATCAATTTAAAATGTTTAAAGATTTTTGATTCAATACAATAAAGCAATAAAGCTTATTATTATATTATTATATTGTCTAGGGCAATAAAGTTCAAATGAGATCATGAACACGTTCATATATTATTAACTTCCCGAATGAGAAGTTTATGTTTTCATCAAAATATCCGATTTGCTTATTTTATGTTTACTCGACGTTTCAAGCCATTCTGAATAGAATGAGACCAAATTTGGAAAAAGTATGTGTGTGTGTATGTGAACAGATTTTTTGCTGCAAATCGACGTTTTCTCTAAAAACGGCTGGACCGATTTCAAAAATTTAAAAGTCATTCGATGTATCTCGATGAGAACTATTCTTTATCAGTTTTGTGCGACGATCGGCCAAGCCATTTCTTTATAATTAGCAAAAAAGTGAAATTAGCCCGCGATTCTAAATCGATTTCGAAAATTTAAAAACCGTTCGAAAGATATTGGTTGGGAATTGTATTCATTAATTTTTGGTAAAAACCTGCCGGACAGATTAGGTTTGCGGGACGATTGGACGAGCCGGTTGTTTGAAATTAGCATAAAAAAGCAAAAATATTACGTTTTTGGAATAAAGCCAAAAACCGATTTTTAAAATTGAAAAAAGATTTCTGAAAGATATCAATTAGGAGTCAAAATATTTGACGATTTTAAAAATTCATCAAAGTGTGATAAAACTTCATAATCAATATTTGTGTTAAAAGGCGCTTTTGTGATGTGATAAATCAAAATTTAATTTTCAAAAACGCCTGAACTGATTTCACAAATTAAAAAGACATTGGACTAAACTCGATAAATAGAACCGAGATATTCAAAAATTTCGAGTTTTTTTTTTTAATTCTAAATTAATTCGATTATTTTAAAATTTTAGATATTTTAAATTTCTCAAAATTTTAAAACCAGTTGACTTGCCGTTTCGGAAAACTAATCATTTCTTCATATCACTAAAATACCACGAACAAAATATTTTTTGAGTCATTCCAATCGGATGATCTGTACTCTCAAAACCTTCATAACCACTTTTGCACCTTCTGCGCTCTGTATCTCCAAAAATGCTAAACCTGCCTTTGGCATAAACAGTACGCCTCTCATTCAAAGCCGAGTGAATATTTTTTGAATCATTCATGGTGACTGATCCTTGCAAAGGACAATTAAACTATCTAAGAAGTAAACTTTGAAAATCAAAAATCTTGGTACGGAATGATTCAAAATAATGAAGACAAAATTTGTAATAATTAATAATTTTTTATAAACAATCTAATAATTTGATGTCAATGATCATTTTTTATCACCAAATGACACCTTTTTGGGTCACCAAAAACGCTGACCATGCTCTCGCAAAATTTTCAGTAGTTCTTATTTCGTCATACAAGTAAAAAGTGTCTTGAATTATTCAAATAGGACGCTCCATTTTTGAAAAATTGAATTAGCACTTTTTTCACTCTTTGCTCCCTATTCCGAAATGGATGGAACTGTCTTTACAAAAAACTAATCAGCACGTCTTTCCGAATGCCAATTGGCAAAAAATTGTAACCGCATAAACACATGCATACATCAATTTTTTCTAAAGCATGTCAAAATGTTCAGGAGAACTTGAAGCGTAGAGTTATATAAACAATTTTATTTATGATTTTTTAGGATTATTATAACTTAGCCTTCCTGAAGTTGAAAAAAAAGCCAATTGGAGGAAGCATACCAAATTGTCAGATATTTTAGTTTAAGATTTAATTTTATACTACAGGCATATTTAAAAAAATATATTTTCACATACAAAACAAATTACATAAATTAATTAACAACAATGAATATATTGTGTTAATTCGCCATTGTTTGATTTAATACCGAAAATAAAACTAGAAACAATCGAACAGTTTTTAAAGCGTTTTAATTATAAGATTCACCTGAACAAAATTACAAAAAACGAACAGTTTTCAATATTTCTTCAAAAAATCTTATCAGTTTGATAATTATTATATTAAATATGATACATCAAGAAAATATCAATGCGGCACCCACGAATAATAAATTTGATTAGAAAACGCATAACGTTCTATTTCATAGAAAATGATCTCTAAATTTACAAAAAAAAAAATTCAGGATCTATCCTTAAAATGAATTGTCGTGTCATTTCATCGAGTTTAAAATATTTACATTTTGAAAAACTTGCCGCGCCCTAAATTATGCCGTCCCAGGCCCGGGCCTAACGGGCCTATGGGGTAATCCAGCACTTTTTATATTAGAAATTCATGTTATTTGTTAATAAAAATGTTTAAAAGATAAATTTGGTTATAATTCTTCTCCCCTAGAACCTAACTATATATTTCAAAATTAAGGTGGCACTCTAAATCATATTGGTAGAGTGGCTTGGCACACTACAGTTAAAAGCTTGCCGACCCCTGTTATATATCATGGTCTTATAGAACTTACTGAAATATTGTGAAAATTTGCTTTCAGAAAATATTCCGAGTTAACATGTTCGTTCGTTTTCAATTATGTGTAATGAATCCACTCAGAATATTTTTAATCACTCATAAATTAATTTATTTTTTATTGATTAAGTCGATTATTTACACATATCGGGAAGTTCATGTAACTTGCCTCAAAGCAAAATACCAATACCAATACCAACTAGTTTTCTAGATGATTTTGGCAGGCATGGCTTACACATTATGAATCGATTAGGTATTTTTTAAATGTCACTTTTTTATAATTTTAAAAGGCGTATCAGTACCAAAGTTATTGAATTTGAATTATTTTAGCAAAGCTTCGCGGACAAATTCAAAGCGTTCAGAATGACAGAAAGCATTTTTGTCTGTTGGTACCCCTGTACGATAAATGTGTATGCTTAACCTTATTTAGCATCAATTATAGGTTAAAATGTTTGTTTGTCGTTAGTGAAAAATCTTCAATTTTGCAAATCAAATAAATAAATGAGAATTTTGTTATATAGAAGTTGCCACTTTTTATATTGAAATAAATTTTCTGTATATTTTCGATATGGCCAATCAAGTTTATATTTGTAAAAATAATATAAATAAAACTCTCGGCAACAAATCTACAGAATACTGGTCTAATATTAAAAAATGGCTTAAACATATTTATACAGAGGAAGAGTTAACTACAAAAAACAGATTATTATTTGATAAAGCAGAGGATATTTATCTCCATATAAACTTTATGGTAGCTTTAAAAACTAAATTATTATTACCCCAAGTTACAAATACAGCTCCTTCTCGTCATAAAACTTCTAAACGAAGAAGTAAGAAACATCCTAAGAAGAAACCTTTATTTGAGCCTGCCCAGATTCAGGACTATGCCCCATTGAAACAAAATCAAACCAATCATTTTTTATATGCTAATGGATCAGTGCATGTCCAAACATATTCTGCGCAAGAACTATTCTTACCTGATAAGGCTATGGTCCTGGGCAGATTATTGGTGGCTATGGGAGATGAAATTGAAGACGCTACAGAGGGTGCAGCAGAAATGATTGTGCAAGCCTCTCACATCTTTTTGAAAAATGTATTGTCTGGGATACTTTCAAAATATAAAGCCTACAAGACAATAAATAACAATGTCAAATATGATGTTGGTATTGATATACCAGATCCTTTGTTCCGGATTCCCCCAGAAGTTGCAGTGACGTTTCCAAACCCTGATAAACTTGATCAATTGAAGAACTATGCTATTTCTAGTTCTAAACCGAAAAAAGAAGATAGAAAACAGATAACAGTAGACCAAGTATATGATGCTATAAGATTGCATAGAAACCTTATAGCGAACCATTCTGTTTTTTCATTGTCCGTAGAACGAATATCTCTTGAATTGGATAATGAAGATTCTGATAATAAATAGGTAATAATAATAAATAGGTAATAATAATAAATAATATATATATATATATATATATATTTAATTTTCAGTACTGCGATATATGTTCAAATTGTAATTAATTTTATAACTGCTATAAATAATTCTTTTTACATGTATAAATGAAATATTATTAAATAATTAAATTTTACGTTGATATCAAATATCAAACTGCTTTAATTTTGTTTATTGCACAATCAATATTTTCGAATCAAAGAAGTGCAAATGTTGGGAACTTCTTTAATAATTTAATGATTTCTACCTGGTTATTTTTGCAAGATATAAGGTAGCTAATGAATTTTATTGATTTTGTCAATAAAGTGCCTAGAAGTTCATAATCAACATTCATTACTCCAAAATGTGATTTTAGTATTTTGTTTAGGTGTATTCAATATATATATATATATATATATATATATATATATATATTAAGGTTTTTTTTATATTAATTTTAGTTTTGAATTATGTGAATCAAAATATTCAGGGCAATATGTGAATTAAAAATGGAAGAGTTTTGTATAATCCATATTATAACATATCCATATGTTTCGACTTATGGATTTATAATCTTATGTCATATTTTTCCATTTATTTTACTTCTCTTTTGTATAGTAGATACAATTTCCATACATTTTTTTATCCAGCCTCGAGCATGTGGGATCAAAGTAATTACATGATATTAAGACCTAAAGTCATTCTGCCTTTTGAAGCAATGCTTTCAATTGGTGGTCAGATTACGGTTTAGGGTGTAAAGCCTTTATTAGTTACCCAAACACTTTTAAATAAACTCAGATAGAACAACTTAAACGATAATAGATTTTATACTTGAATTTCCAAAGTATTCACATTGTTCTACTTGATTTTTTTTAAAAGTGCTTTGAATAATATTTATACAAACAAAAATATAAGGGTTTTAAGCATGACCACCCATGCTTTCCACAATGGAAAGCATTGCTTAAAGATACAAAAAGGCTTTAGGTCTTAATATGGTCTTATTGCTTTGCACCACATGTTTAAACCCGTATAAAAAAGTAATGATGAAATTAGATCTGTAACATAAAAGATAAGTAAATTAATTGGGCGAATTGATGCTACTAAAGATGGCATAGGATCATATGCTGAATCATATGGAAATAATAAAGCTGGTATATAATACTTCCACTTGTATTCTATATATTTTCCTTAATATTTTGGTATATATATGTACACACTGACCTCGCCAGTTGTATATAGATGATGAGAAAATATGTGATCATATGTAAACTTATTTATATTACACTAAAGACGAGACGAACCTTATGGTTAGTCTTGAAACGTTTGTAACATAATATTATTCAATAAATAGTGCTAAAAATAATGCAGTGTGTTCATATTTTTAAGTCTTATATATATATATATATATATATATATATATATATATATATATATATATATATATATATATTGTTTAGTATGTTTCAACGTCGAACAAAAAATCCTCAAGATATATATATATATATATATATATATATATATGATTAATTTTTTGGAGGGCGTATAAAAACTATTTGCTTATAAAAAATTGCTGAATGATGGCACACAACTGTGTCAAAACGTATAAATAAATAGTTCTTTATTTATTGTTTTTTATCTCGACGTTTGGTCGTGGTTTGATGCCAAAAGTTGTCATTTTTATGATTAATTTCCAGAAGGAGAAGTTTATGTTTTTGGCAGAAAATCCGATTTGCTAATTTTAGGTTTTTTCTCGACAAGCTTGTTTTCAAGCCATAATGAATCAAATGAGACCACATTTGAAAAATGTATGTGTGTGTATGTGAGTCAATTTTTGACCTTACGTCGACATTTTCTCAAAAATGGCTAGGCTGATTGCAAAAATTTTAAATCCATTTGATGTATCTTGATGAGGATTAGCGTTTATTAGTTTTGCACGATGATTGGTCTAGCCGTTTTTCTGTACATAAGCAAAAATGTATAAAAAAATTCTCCACGATTCAGCTCATAATCTTGAATTGATTTTGAAAATTCAAAAATCGTTTAAAAGATATTTGTTCGGAATCGTGCTGATTAGTTTGCTGGTAAAGAATGGCTGGGCCGTTTTCTTGTAAAAAATTAATTCTTGAAAAGAACTTTCGACGATTTTTATGAAACTGTTTTTTGACGATCTTATAGAACATACTAAAATATTACGGTTCTATAACAGGTCTTTATTGACATTTGTCAAAATTAGACTTTCATCGACGTTTTCTGATAAACGGCTGAACCGACTTCAAAAATTTAAAAGACATGAAACTTGATAACCTCGTGTTGGTTAGTTTTTGATACGATTGGCTAAGCCGTTTCTTTAGAATCAGCAGAAAAGTGTAAAATTTTTCTAAAATTTAGCGTTTTAGCTAAAAATTCTGATCCGATTTTGAAAATCCAAATACTATTCAAAAGATATTATTTGGGAATGGTGGTACTGATTAGTTTAAAGCAAAAATCAGCCAGTTATCGTTGTTAAAAAAATTTCGAAGATTTTAATAATAATTGGCATAGCAATTGAGTAATTGATCGTTAGGAGCATCATGAAACTTTATAGTTCTTCTGAATGTGGTTCAGTTCTAAAATTTTACTGAAGTTTGAATAATTCAGCCGCCCTTCTAGAAAATACTCTAACAATAAGTAATAGTATGAAACTCTTTGTTGTTTAATTAATTAATAACATTGTAGCGTTTAGATTTTTTTGTTTTTTTTTCAATTTATTTGTATTGAACTCTATTTTATATGGTTGATATAAAAGTGCAAAAATAATTTATTATATTAATTGATAGAGTTAAATTCATATTCGATTTGTATTAACGGGAAGACGTGCTGATTAGTTTTTGGCAAAGGCAGGTCCAGCTGTTTTGAAGATACAGGACAAAAGTTCCAAAAATGGTAATTCAGGTTTTGAGATAATGGACCGTTCGATTTTAATGATTCAAAAAACATTTCATTTATATTGACAAAACGAGGAACTGATTAAATTTTAGGGAAGGCAGATACAGCGGTTTTGGAGTTCCAATAAAAAAGTAAGAGAAATGCCATTTGGCAGTCAAAAAAAATGAGCATTAGACATATGCACATCAAATTATGTCTTATTTTATATGATTATAGATATTTTAATAGTAAGTAACAAATTTTGTTTATATTTCTATGGATTCCGTGTTCCATACCAATGTTCATCCATCAGACTACGACGCGGCACTTACGCGCTTCGATTACTTTGAAACAGAGTTCTACACTTGTTTATCTATGGTTCAAAATATAAAAAAGAGATTTTTTTTGGTACGGAAAGTTGTAGAAAATTGCCTCAAAGCATGATGCCGTGCACTACTAGTTATTTTTTCTAATCGTAAATTTCATTGTTGAAGCTTACAAATTGTCTGCTTTTGCGTTCGTAAGCGCTTCATAGTTTGCTGTTAAGTTATTTTGGTAGTGTGTTTCAGGGGAAATAATATATTTTAACGATATTTTTAAAAAATTGTTTGAGATATGAATTATTTTTGTTTCTTTAATCTATTATGCATGGCAATAAATGATTTTTGATATTTTTTACAATGTGATAATTGTAATCGAAAATAATGAAATATATATTTGTATAATTTTTCATGGTTATTTATTCAATTTGTTCTTTTAAGTCTTTGGTTAATACTATATAATTTATTGGTACACTACAAACATAATTAACAGCAATATGTAGTTCACTAAACTTGTTAATAATTTATGAATAATGCATTATTTTGATAAATAATTTAATGACGAATCGTTTACAATGTATTACAATATCACAATATTTATAATTACTACCAAGTTTGGTGTACTATGTTAGTGCTAATTATGTTTGTAGAGCACATGTAATAATGTGATAATCCATTGTTCAATATTCTCTGATGATCACATAAAATCTTATAGACATAATTTCTTTTTATTTGATGTAGTTTTTATATATAAGCCCTAGAAAACAAATAATTATAAATATTATAAATAATGACACAACATAATGTTAGAAAATTTGTGTAAAATTGATTCTGAAGTTGTGTGTTATTAAATTGACATTTTAATGTCGAAGTTTTAGGCTTTCTAAGTTAAGAATGTGTTTATCATTTTTTTTGAAAAAAATGATGCTGTGTGAATATTAAACTAGAGAGTTTTAAAAAGTCTACTGATCATGATCCTGGAATGGAAAGGAAACTGGTTCGGACCCATTCTGCACAAAGAATGCCTTTTGCACAAGAAGAAGAAGCAGATGAGTGATTACTTACTCGAGAATAGAAAATACAGGGAACTGAAAGCCGAAGCACGGGACCAAGAAGCATTGAAGCAGAAGTCCGTAAAGAAAAATTCATAAAATAACAAAACAGTGTTTAACGGTAACGGGAATGATAAACAAGGAAGGGAAAGAGAATCATTGATTTGTGATGGCTCTCACTCCATGGACCTGCCTTTGGGCAGACTGCTTTTTATTATTATTATAGAGCGTTTTAGCATAATCCACTTGCAACTACATGCTTACTTATATGATTTCACTTGCATACGTCGGAAATTGGACTATTTTAATGTACTCCAAACAGCGTGATGAAACAAACGTAATCGGCACTTTTAGTTTTCCTTTACAACACGTGAATTTGACGGACAAATGAGGATAATTTAAAACAATACCGTAGTTAACTGATTTGTAACCAATTGCACTAATTGAAAGAATTTTCTTTACAAAAATTACTATTATATAATAATTAATAATCGAAGAAAAACTAGAATATAGACGTTTTCCAATATTCAAACGACACTAATCTTCACAAGGTTATGGCAGAATTTTAGACAAACTTAATATTAATTACATTCTAACAATTGAACTGAGATATTTGTGTGTGTATTTTGTTTACACGGAAATATTTATATGTAAATTTATAGACACATATTCTTAGTATTTAAATATATATATATATATATATATATTTAAATAT